AAAACAATGTGTTGTGTTTTTTGGTACAAGAAACCAGTCAGCATTTTTCATTTTCCTTTTTTTCCTTTTTGTTTGATACATTTTAATAAAGATGTCGCCGATAAGGAACAGCAACAACATCAACACAAAGGAACGTGTTGTTATGCGGTAGGTAAACGAGTATAATTATAGGACAAGGAGACATATCTTTTTTATATTAGAAAAAATTTACAGTTCGCTCAAAACTCTAAAGAATCTCCACGATTAATTTAAAATCCATGTTGTCGTTATGCATTTTTTTTTCTTTTGTTGTCAAATGGGACAATCCTTTTTCTTCTCTTCTTCTCTCATTTTGTATTTTACAATTGCTTTTTTTACGCATAGATATTTTTATACCACGCGAGCTTTTAACATACTATATTTATTTTTTATTTTCAAACAGCGTCCTGCCATTACAGTTTGACAAAAATGAATTTTTTTTCCTTTTTCTATCTCATTTTTCATACAATGTAGATAGATTTTAAAAAATAGCAACATTTTTTTTTTCTTCTCTATTACTGCTGCTGTTGTTGCTGTTATTATTATTATTATCACATAAAAAGCGAGAGAAAAGAGACTTTCTTATTTCTAGTCACATCTCCATCTCTTTCTCTCTCTCGTCATATCTCTTTATATATATATTTTATATTTTATAGATTATAATCAGAATAGCTGCTCAACATACTTACAAAGAACGCACACCCGAATCATCAGTAGTGTATCGTACACACACTATTTGTCGTCAATCGTTCCTGTCATTTCTTCTCTGTGTCGAGCCAGAGTGTGTTTCATCGACTGAACACAAACAAACACACTAGAAAAGTGTGTGTTTGACTCATTATTTTTATCAAATTAGGAAAAACGATTATTTTCAAATTATATTCCAATGGTATGTAGTGAAATTTATTTTAATGATTTTATATAATGTCACCGCAATCAGTTTCACCGGTTAAAAGATGAAAGTTTTGTAGCCATAGTAACGGATTTGTTTTGTAGTCATACCATAGTAACGGATTTGTTGTCTAGTTCGTGTGACATTTATATTCAGCATAGGAAAAGTTCCTTTCTTGTTTTGGTTCATGATCTTACCTTGACATACTGATTGTCTATGGATTCCTCTCTTAGAAAGTATCAGCTGTATCTCATAATAACAAGAAACGATGAAATTATTCCCCCCACTTATCGTGAGACTAATGTCTTAGTATATTAATGAAATTGTTTTAGTGCTAGGGGATGTATCGACGCCCATACTGATAATCTTTTTCGAATTTAGTCTTAAGAGTGAAGGGTACCAGTCTCTTAATGATAATCTTTCAATTTATGAATCTATTTGCTAAGTTGCTAAAAGTCACTGTATAAGAGATGAAAATAAAGAACAGTAAAAGATTTTTGCTGTCTATTGGTTTACTTGTCAAGGCAAAGATTGAATAAGATTATTGTAAGAAAAATGAATCTTTTTTCTTCATTTTAAAGTTTAGAATAATTTGAATTCGTAAGTCAATACTTATCTATCAAAGTCAGACTTAGAAGAACGTGTAGATAAATACTTTTTGTATTTTTCCAGGTTTCAAAATTAGCAAGTAGATATTTCTTAATGAAGCACGCTCTATACAAACTGATGTTTGGAAGGTTACTGATGTTTGTGTAACAGGTTATTGAACCTTTTGACAGTCGCTTCTTCTCCTATACTATCAGCAACCTTCTCTCTCTCTGTCTCTCTCCTATATTTCGTTAGAGATCATGATGTCTATGAAAACTCTCTATATACTTATCTAATGTGTGCCAATGAGTTTTTTGTCGAAAAAAAAAAGCAAAAAAATTTATTAATAATAATCTACGTTCTCTAGTATAAATACCACATTACATCCCATACATATAGAGAAGAAAAATTTATACTGATGATAATATTACTCGATACAAATATATATGTATATCTACACACATACATACACACACATTTGTAACTGATTACCAGAATATTTACTTTTTTCTAGTTTTGTTCTTTGGAGGCAAACGTGATGAATTTTAAAATGAGTTATATTTTTCTTTTTTTTTATTTGTCATAAATTAACTAATATTACTTGTAACATTGATGTTAAGATATAGGGTATCCAAAAACAGAAGCCATAACAACATTTATTCTTGACACTTATTTTTTAAATTTAAACAAAAATGAAAAATTTCAATTATATATGTCCTCTAGATTGTTTTTTTTTGAGATGTACAATTTAACAAGTTCAAACATTCAATCTCTCACTTAATTAGGGGCACACAGTTCGCACAGGTGAAGAGGAATAAGTTGTTTCTGTGAAAAAAATGCCTGAGTTTTTTGTAGATATACAAAATACGAACGATAGGTTCAACGTTTATTTTTAATGTATTTGCAACAACATTGTATAACTGACTGTTCGATGAATTTCATGTTCTTTATCATATGTTTGATCGTTTTGTACTCACGAACTACAATTTGAACGTATATGTAAAAGATAAGATGAAAATGCTATTATCACGCTTATTTATAAATAATCAAGAGAAACTAATTTTTCATTTTTAACATATTTTTTTTTATAACACATTCAACATGTGACAATACACATGAGAATCAGTATTTTATAATTAATCTACTTTATTCTAGTCACTTTCTTTATTCTGGTACTAGATGAGAGGGTAATGTGTGAGAATCTTTAATTATTGTTGTATCTGTCGATCCACGTGGAATAGAACTAGTGTATAGATTTATACTCAGAAATCTCTTTTCTTTTGTTTTCCCCATCGCGTAAAAGCAAATGTAATTTGGATGTGTTGTTGTTATTATTATGAACGGATATTTATTTCTCTCTCTCTTTCTCCTCTATCGTTGTATTTATTTATTTCTTAATTGATTATTACATCCGATTCTTGTCAGATTGTCAAAATCATTTTTCCATATTTTATGTTTTTTCATGTACATAAGTGTTTTGATGCACAAAGAAAGAAGGGAAAAAGGAGAAACGTTCCATTATACCATTTTTTTATATATCTCGAACCAATATATTGAAATAAAGAGTGATGATGCCCTCTTGAAGAAAAATAGAGAGCAAGAAAGAGCGTTGCTTTTGTCTTTGAAATGGAATTGAAATAGCAAACCGATTATTTATTATTATTAAAGAGAGAGAGAGAGGGAAAGAGAGAGAAAGACGAGGAACAGATGGAATTATTTTATTGAAAAGTAAATTTGAAAAGAAAAAAAATTGTTTTACGATGACGGGAACGATGATGATGATGATGATCATTATAAATATTTCTTTTATACAAAGAAAGTGAAAAAAAAATTCAATTGAATTGTGAACTCAAAACTACTATCCTATTTTAAAATGAAAGATAGAAACGCCTTTCATCGAGTAATGGACTATAGAAAAAAGATAAAGAGCTCTGTTGTTCACTATTTTATTGAAGACACTTTGACAATTATATCATGTTCTGAGATTTAGATTGATATTGAACGAAATATTTCTTTTTTTACTTATAAGGAAAAAACCTAAAAGTCATTTGTTTTTTTTTTATTAAAATTAGATTTTCATAAGAGTCTTCCACTTTTATTTGCATAAATAAATATTACCATGATAGTCAGAATGGATAATTTCCAGTAAAATGGGTGTCATAGATGATTATGTCATTGTGTTCTAAAACTTGCATCAATGGCACACAGGTGCCCTAGAGGGCTTTCAGGAAATTAGCTCTCTCTAGTATTTGTACTCCTCTAACACGAAGGAATTCTATCTGTAGAAGATAACAATGCTCCTCTAACTTTTAATACAGAAGGCTTTACTTTTGATGTTGTACATAACGACTGAGATCAGATTCTTGATGTCATGTAAGAGTCTACCGATTCTATATCTTTTCTCTTTTCTAACACACGTTGTTCGTAAATAAGAAGTTTTCTATTGTGAAATGCACCGTATTTCTCTTGTCTCAATGACAGATGGTAGATGCTATTATATTTAACAGATTAATCTTCTACTCTCACTCTTAAAAAGGAATGAAACTTAAAACTAGCCCCATTTATTTTGAGATTGATTGAATTTTAGATTTTAAGGAGAAAAATTCTGTGACATATATTTAATATATGAGCAAACATCTGCCAGTGGTATATTAATTAAAAGATCCAGCTAAAATTGATTTAATTCAAATCAGTAGCCCTCGAGCGACTTATCTTTATTCCATGTTAGTTATGAAATTTTGTTAATTTTATATGCTCTGAAAATTATTAGCATAAAAGGAGTGTTAATAGATGTTGCGTACATAGTCACTGTAACTAACATGTCATGTACAACCGTTATGCCTAAATAAAAATTATTGCTTTTCTAATACATTGTTTGAAAGTTACTTGTTGTCATAGTTCGAAGATGCTAATACCTCATTCTATAGTCGTATATTTAAAGTCTTCAAAATTCATTTGTTTAGTCAGAGGAAAACTATAGTGACAAAGATTATCAAAACTGATGATAAAATTTTTGTTTATATATTTAAAAGAAAAACGTTTTTAATAGAAATTGATTTCATTTTAGGCTGATCAGCTAACCGAAGAACAAATTGCCGAATTTAAAGAGGCATTTTCATTATTTGACAAAGATGGAGATGGAACAATAACAACGAAAGAATTAGGTAAAGCTCTATTATTTGCCTGTTTGAATTTTACAGATAAGATTAAATTGAATTATAATAATTTTTTATTGACTTTGAATTTTAGGCACAGTTATGAGAAGTTTAGGACAAAATCCAACAGAAGCTGAATTACAAGATATGATTAATGAAGTGGATGCCGATGGTAAGCATTAATTATATTTTTTTCTAATATTTTAATGAAACCATAAGATATAGGACATATTATTTATATTATTTATTGTAGACAATCGTACACTATAAATGTGCACTATGTTTTATTCTTGAGACAAAAAACTTATCTCATTTAATCGTACTATTTGTTTAAAATTGATACGTTTCTTTTTGTGGATATTAATCGACTGGTGTTGTTTTTCGAATATTTTACTACATAACATCACCAGGTAGATAAAATGACTCTAGAGGGGGGGGGGGCCGATATCGCGTAAATATAATTTATTATATGATTAAGAACAAGAATAAAGAAGAAAAATCAACATTCTAATCAGTTTATATAAAAAAACATCTACCTTTGATTATGTCATCGATTAAATAGCAGACAGAGTTATATTCAAAAAAAATCTTCTATCTTTGACATCAATAAGCTTTTCTCATAATTTCTTCTCTCATTTGGAACAAAATGACGAGGCTAAATTGAAATATAACAAAATCAAATCTAATTACATTTTTCTTTTTTTGCTTTTCAACTATGTGAGATATCTTTGTGGTTTGATAATAAATCGAACATAGATTTTCTTTAACATAACTTCTTATTTTTTTGTTATTCATTCAGTTTCAGAATGACAGACAATTAAAAAAAACTATTCGACAAAAATAAGAAAATAATACTAATAATAATGACAAATCTGACAAGTCTTACCTGAGGGAAAGAAGAAAAAAAGAACAATGAAAGAGTAGTTTATTCTGTTTTGAATGTCTTACAGCAATTATAAATAACTGATGACATTGGCCTTCAAATCGAATAACTTTAATAATAGTTCACTATAACTCTCCTGGTCTAACGTTATTTTTAAAATAAAAAGATGTTCATGATAGTTGTTGTATTTTTTTCTTTTGTTTTTCAATCAAAATAAGAGAACAGAGAAGAATAAATATCATCATTTGAAAATTTATCAGAAAAATATTCTCTATCACATCTTCATTTACGAGAACTCTACATCGACTAAGTTTTGATGAATAAAATGAATTCAGTACCTATTCATCAACATTTTATAGTGTTGGCGCCTCATTAACATCTTTCATCTAAAATGTTGTCGATGAGTCTGGAAAAAAATTAATGAGTCGACAAATCGGGATGATACTATAAAATCAAAGTTGAACACTTGATGAAGAGAAAATTTATTGTACAAGAAAAGGACCAAGTCTGAGTTGAATAATTAAACTATTATAAGATCATTAATCAACAATCTACTGGTTTATTATAGGAAATGGCACAATTGATTTTCCAGAATTTTTAACTATGATGGCACGAAAAATGAAAGATACCGATAGTGAAGAAGAAATACGTGAGGCATTCCGGGTGTTTGATAAAGATGGAAATGGATTTATATCTGCCGCCGAATTGCGGTATATATTTTACTTTCAAGATATATAGAGTTTAAAAATTCAATATTTATCTTTACTTTCAGGCATGTAATGACAAATTTGGGAGAAAAATTAACTGACGAAGAGGTTGATGAAATGATCAGAGAAGCAGATATTGATGGAGGTAAATTAATTAATTTTTATTTTGTTTTGAATACTCTCTTTCTCTCTTTCTGTTCAATAATTTATAAATCTCAATTTTTTTTCCTTTATTTTAGATGGACAAGTAAATTATGAAGGCAAGTACAAAAAATTATTCACTAATGTTAAAATGTTTAATGAGTATAATACATTCGGAGAATAGAATATAGTACGCTTCTTTATAGTCGAGCAGGATATGATAGTCTATTTTTGAATCGTATATTCTATCCTCGATAAAGTTCTCGGTTTTTCATTGGAGTCTAGCTTCGTCAGAGTTATCTCATCTTAAGAAAAAGACTTCTAAACATCTATTTATCAGTTTTTCCTTTACTATAGTTAGAGAAACGCTAGGTCTTGATTGTCTTTCTTTTTTTCTTCTTCTTCTTCTTCTTTATCCTGTTTTCCTTTTTATAAAAAAAAAGAAAAAAAGAAAAAAATTTAGTCGATTAGCTTGATTTTCTTTATCTATGCATCGATGTTTAGAAGATAAAAAAGAAATTTAATTTATTAATGCTTTTGTCTTTCATCTATTGTTTTCTTGACTCTTATATTTCGTGATCAGTCTTACTCTCTTTCTTCTTTTGTTCGATTAAATTGTTTCGTGAGTAACTGTGTGTGTAAAGGGGATTTCTCGTAATTTCATCAATAGATTCATTCATATTTTCTTTATTTTAGAATTCGTTACAATGATGACTTCAAAATAATTTTTTTTTTCTCTTATTATTATTGTTTTTTGTTCAATTTCTTTTTATTTTATTTTTTTTGTGCGTATGCGTGCGTGCGTGTGTTATTAGTCGGTTTTCTTTTTCTTTTATTTTTCTTCTCGAAATTGTCTTCATAGATATATATATATATGCATATATATATATTATCATTTTTAAAATCATCATCACTATTTTGTTGCTGGGCGCTGTTTCATGGTGGATAATAACAACAGCAAAATAACAGAAAAATCCACTCAAGCCAAAAAGATGGATTATAAAGATTACTGTGCTTGTAAGATTTTCTTTCATCTTAACATGAAGACAATTTGTCATTTGGATGATCAATATGTGAGCCATAATAACGACACACACACACACAATCACGAACATAAAACTCTAGCGATAAAGAAAAAATAAAATTCTTTTAATTATCATTATTTTAAATAATTAATTTTTTTTTTCTTCATTTGTATTTTTTCAATGTGTATTGTTCAATTTTCATCACTTTTCTCAAAAATCAATATAAAAACAACAAC